AGGGAAAAGGGTTGGATGGATGATCCCTGTGGTCCAGCTCAGGATATTCCATGATTTCCATGATCTCCTTCCCTCTGGGGCAGTCACAGGAGCTCCCCTCAGCCAGGGAAGGACCAAGAGATGACACCAAGGCCTGAACATCCCTCCCCGTGGTGACATCACTGGGATTAAACCACTCCCGAGCCAAAGGTGCCATTCCCAGTGCCAGGCAGCCCCTCCCAGCCCAGGGCTGTCCCTGCCCTGCCCTGCCAGGATTGCAGCCAGGCTGGATCCCAGCTCTCCTCAGCCCCTCGCTCCACGTCCAGTGCCAGCTGCAAACACATCTGGGAAGGAATTCACCCCCTGCTCCTGCCTGGGCACACTCAGCCTCGCTGGGAGCTGCCTTCATCTCCAGGAGCCTGGGGAGACGTGGGGACAGCAAACTCCAGAGCCTGACTCCCCCAGCAGCTCAGCCCGTCGCTAATAAGCTCTCGAGACGGAGTTGATCCTATCAATTCGTGCTGTGAAAGTCGAGCTTCTGTTCTCCAATATTGAGCAGCTCCGTGCTGCACACAGAGAGCACGGCTGCAGCTCGGATCCTCAGAGAGCCTGCCAGGCTTCGAACAAACAGGAGAGGTCACCTGAGCGGGGAGGAAAGGTCACCTGAGCAGGGAGGAGAGCAGGGCACTTGTGCAGGGAGGAAAGGAGGTCACCTGTCCAAGGAGGAAAGGTGACCTGTGCAAGGAGGAGAGCAGATCACCTGTGCAAGGAGCAGAGGTGACCTGTGCAAGGAGAAAAGGAAGTCACCTGTGCAAGGAGGAGAGCAGGGCACCTGTACAAGAAGGAAATGTGACCTGTCCAAGCAGGAGGACAGGTGATTTGTAAAAGGATGAAAGGAGGTCACCTGTGCTAGGAGCAGAGCAGGGCACCTGCCCAAGGAGAAAAGGAGGTCACCTGTGCAAGGAGGAGAGCAGGGCACCTGTGCAGGGAGGAAAGGTCACCTGTCCTAGCAGGAAAGGAGTTGACCTGTTCAAGCAGGAAAGGAGGTTACCTGTCCAAGGAAGAGAGCAAGTGACCTGTCCCAGGAAGAGAGCAAGTGACCTGTCCAAGGAAGAGAGCAAGTGACCTGTCCCAGGAAGAGAGCAAGTGACCTGTCCCATTAGGGAAGGTGACCTGTCCTAGAAGGAGAGCAGGTGACCCATCCAAGCAGGAAAGGTGACCTGTACAAGAAGGAAAATTCACCTGTCCCAGCAGGAAAAGTGACCTGTTCCAGTGGGGAAGGTGACCTGTACAAGGAAGAGAGCAGGTGACCTCTCCAAGCAGGAAAGGTGACCTGTCCGAGCAGGAAAGGTGACCTGTCCGAGCAGAAAAGGTGACCTGTCCTAGAAGGAAAGTTCACCTGTCCCAGCAGGGAAGTTGCTGACCTGCCCCACACCCTTTATCAGCTGCCCTGCTCCAGGACTGCCGTGGATAAGCTGGGATTATCCCCGGGATGCACAGGGGCAGCTCCTGGAGCTGGTTTTGCTCCTGCTGAAGCCGCTGTGATCCGGGAGAGCCCTGGCTGGGACAATCCCGTCCTCACAGCCTCCCCGGGGCTCAGTTTAGAGCCAAGACACGGCTGCTGACAGCACCCCTGACATCTTAATTTGGAGCTGCACCCTCTGTAATTATTGCCCTGTCGGGGACCTTATAATCACCCAAGTAAAACCTCAACCAATTTAAAATGATCCCGGGTCCAGCCCCCAGGTGTGACTTCCAGGGGTGCTTCCAACTCAGGCCAGTTCAAATTACAAGGGCCGACCTCCTAATTAGGAAGAGTTATGGCTCGATTTAAAAAGGAGAGCAGGCTAATTAACACATGTAGTGTAATGTCTTAATTGGGATTCAGATTGGAGAATTTGTGTGGTTCACACAAATGACTCATAATTAGCCAAGAGGTCCAGTTTTCTCCTGTCCCTGGGAGCTCTGCTCCCCGACACCGAGCTGGGGAGGATGGGCAGTTAAATATTGCATTTTGTGAGCTGTCAGCTGCGATGCAAATCCCTCTTTTCACCCATTAACCCCCTGGAAGGGAGTGGTGAGGAGCTTCCAAAGGCTTTCAGTGCAGAGGATCAGCACAGATTGAAAATAAATAAAATTAAATAAAAATCCTTTCGGTGAAGAGGGATTTCGTTTGACACCGCTGCCCTGCCAAAGGGTTGGGTCAGGGAATTGGGAGCTCTGGACCTTCAGAGCCTGCTGGCAGCACAACTCTGGCATCTTCTGGAGCCTAAACAATCCCAGGGGGAGGAATGTTGGGAGGGAGCTGCCCCAGCCCAACCTCCCTGCTCAGGCAGGGTCCCCTGGAGCACAGAACTCAGGGCTGTGTCCAGATGGATTTGGAATATCTCAAATGACACTCAAAAATGAGACACTGAAAACTGAATTACTGAACATCTCCAGAGATGTTCAAAGAGCTGGGGAAGGAGCCTGATTTACTCACAGGAGCAGACCCCACCCCACCAGGACTCTGCAGAATTATTGGTGCTGTCCCACAGGAGGAGTTTTAGAGACCTCAGCCCACACCCAGGGCAGGAGCAGCTCTGGAATGAAACCCTGGCTCAGATTTATTCAACAAAGAGTTGGAAAGTTTGCACTCACACTGGAAAGCTGCAGGAGGACAAGGGAATCATGGAATCATGGAATGGTTGGGGTTGGAAGGGACCTTAAAGCTCATTCAGGGACACCTCCCTCTGTCCCGGTGTCCAGCCTGGCCTGGGACACTGCCAGGGATCCAGGGGCAGCCACAGAAATGGAATTCTTCTCTGGGAATTCCATCCCAGGGCCTCCTCACCCTCCCAGGCAGGAATTCCTTCCCCAGATCGGATCCAAACCTCTCCTCCCTCAGTTTGAGAACATCTCCCCTCGTCCTTTCACTCCCTGCTCTTGGGAAAAGTCCCTCTCCACTTTTAACACGTTTATTTTCTTGTCCCCAATTTTATAACACAACATTTTTTAATCTGCCTCACTGGCACAACTGATCCACGTTTCTCCCCTGACCTCTGCATGGTGGAGAACAGGAAATTTCACAACACTTCCCTCCTCCTCTTCCTCTTCCTCTTCTTTCTTCAAGCTTTGCTCCTTCACCCCTTGTGGACACACACATTCAGAGAGCTGGGGAATTCCAGCTTGGGAATTCTGGATTTCTCCTGACTCTCAGCTCCATTCCCAGGCTGACAAGCTGACTGCAGCTTCAGTTAGGGAGGAGTCTCCCAGGGTGACAACATGGTGACAAACAGAGTGGAATTTATAATAATTTATAATAAAAATTAACCCCTGGTGTCTTTCCCGTGGGACACATCCTGAGGTGCTGTCCCAAGGATTTTTTTTCCCAATTGTCCCATGAGCTCCTGTCCTGTCCTGTCTGCACTGACACACTTTAAATCCAAATTCTCCATACAATAAATTGCCTTTTTACCCCGTGTATGTCGCTGTCCTTCCTCCCTCTTTGCAGCCCAGTAACCACAACCCCTCCCAACCCTCCAAATCTCCTCTTCCTCCTACATTTTTTCCCCCCTAAAACTTTCTGTGAGGAGAGGCAGGAGGGCTGCGGGGACGCTCGGCCGTGCCGTAGGTGCAGACACAGACAGTGCATCTGCTGCGCAGACACGCGGTGCTGGAGCTCGTGTAAACACACCTTCCTTCAACTCTCATCACAGCCTTCATTAGTGCTTTAAATTCCGCATAATTTGGCAGCTGCCTCTGGCGTTTTTCAGGAGGTGCTGTAATTTATTCCATATGGAAGTCAGGCGC